ATACAGTGGACTTGTAAAAAAACATTTTCTTTAATTTAACAGACTGTTTTGATATATATATATATACTGTATATATATATATATATATATATATATATACAATATTTTTTTTTAATTCTGAAACTTATTGATTTCATTTCATAATTTGAATCCAATTTGAATCTAATTTGAGGTCCTTTTGGGGACCCCACTCATTAATAAAACCTACATATTTTAACATAAAGGATATATTTTATCTAAAATTACGTTTGTAATAATAGATCAATTATATGTTAGTGGAGATCATAACTCAAGAAGTGTTCTTGGGAGCTCAATTGTGCAGACTTTTTTTTGAAAACAATTGATTAACAATTGATAAATAAAACGATACCTTACTTTAACTGAAACGCCAATGTACTTTTCATTTTTCTAATCAATAATCCTAAAACAATGAGCAATGTGTTGTTTCACACCTCTGTCAAACATATACTGCACTAACACACACACACACATATATTACTGACAGTCCGGAACAAACTCATCAGTCTCATTCACACGTTGAGAGCTATTCTGGTCGACTTCCTGGTGTGACTGAGGCATAAGATATCTCAAGCCCCTTGTCTGCAGGAGGGCACAAGCACACTGGCAGCAAAGGTCATAGCACACCACTGCTTATCACAATCACTTAGTGACACACGTCAAGTCTTGTGAACATGTCTCACCACATCCAGAGCTTATGTAGGCCTACATGCATTAAGACAAAGTAGCGTGAATATGTGCATTGCCTGCAGTTTACATTTAGGACTGGATCTGGATTAGTACAAAGCCCCACATCATCTTTTAATATTTAGAAACAGGGAGTATCTGACTTACTAACTGATCACTATCCATCTTCATCAGGCAGTCTCTCAAGTAAACATTGCTTCCTCAAGTGGAGCCAGAGAATAAAAGTATTTGCCATGTATAGTTAAAGAAGATAGGGGGAAAAAATTTTGGTTAAACTTTAAAAAAGTATGTGTTCATGCTGTATTCCTTAAGTTTATAATCAACCTGAAATGTGAAGTTGTCTTGACTGACAGCTTTCTTCTCTATTGTTATGATAGGCTATCCCACAGAGGAACTCCGGAAGGAGATTTGAGTTATGTCATTTAAGTTTATTCACCAGTCATTCGTGAGGGCTAGCTACAACTTTACTTTCGTTTTGTTATTGGTTTATTTTGTGGAATTAGTTACGTTGAGCGTTTGGCAGTTCCCGCCTCCTTCTTCCCTAAATGAAAGTCAGCCATGTATGACTTGACAATCTTTGAAACCAAACTACAACAATTCCCAAATTTGACAGTATATAGCAGTTAAATGATATTTGGGAGGGGACTAAATATTGTAAGCTGAATCTGTATCCACTGAATCACCTGTTCGACTACTAGTAAGACTGCTACTCTCTCTTTCTCTGTGTGTGTGTGTGTGTGTGTGTGTTTAGCCACTCACAAACTCTCACTGAGGTGGTCTCTACAGCTTGTGTAACATGATCCTTTCAACAGAAAATGCACAGGACGAGAGGGGGAGCGAGAGGCTGGACAAAAGCTCCTAACAGCAGTGCAGTCCAGTAGGTAAAAGTGGAGTTATCCCGAATGGCTGTGTTCGATTGGTGTGTAATGCATTCTGAGGGCTGGTGGTGGGAGCAGGACGGATGGCGCCACGGTGCTGCCCCACTGATACACTACACCAGCAAACACAGCCCAGGGGAAGCAAGCGCGTCAATACACACACACACACACACACAGAGAGAGAGAGAGAGAGAGCACCTGAAGGCCAGCTGGAAACCCAAAAGCTGAGAAGGTGTTGATGTTAATCATTGCAAGAAAATGTGTATAATTGTGACAGGATAGGGAACAATATTGGTGTGTGTTTGCTGCAATTTGTGTGTGTGTTCTAGTGTTTTGCGGTAGCAGTTCATTAATCTCAGGGCTGGCACCAAACCTGTATGTATTTGTGAACCCCTCCTACTCTGAAGGTCATCCCTGATGTCTTGGAAGGGAGGAAATCCAGATCGATTATGATAAAAATACACCTGCAAAGGACACAGACACACCCAGAGATACTACTATTTCATTGAAATGCTTTATCATCGGCAAGGACACTTTACTATCTAGGAATAAAGCCTCAAATAACATATTGTGTAAATGATGGGGTAGATACATAGGAATTTTGAGGATTATGAGTTTATATTTCTGCAGATTTTAATATCAAGTTTCTGTTAAAGTGTAGGAAGCAACACATCTTTACAATGACCAATACTGGAAAAATGTGTATTGCTACCGAAAAAGACAATTGTAAACTGTTACTAGTGCTCTGATTGAAATATATTTTAATATTTTATTATTAATAGATATATTTCTATTCTCAACATTTATATAATATTTAAGTATTTTATAATAAATTATTTATATATTTTACATACATTTCTATAATCAAATTATTTTGTTTTGTGCACTCTGTAAAAAAGACATCTTAGTATGTAAAATCAGTTATAACAAGTAAAGTAACCTAAAAATGCAGTGGATTTGTGCAAATGCAATGTACATTCCATAATAAATATAAATCTTTAATAAATATAAATAAATCAACCTGACTGTATTAGGTTACACCAACATAACAGAACAAAAAACATGCTGATAAGGGTAGAAATATTTCAAATACATGAACCAGACACAAGTACAACAATTTGCGTTTAGTCTGTCCCCTCAACTAGAGAGGGGACATTCAACACACACACACACACTACGTCAGTCTGTCTGCAGCCTAACCACAATCCTCTTGCCTGCTGTGGTGACCGCAAGCAGTCAACAATGCCACAATCAGCATCATACTGCATAACAGAACAATCAATACACGCACACACACAAACCACCACCACACTGTTCATCACACCAATCGATAATTATGTACACCACCACAGGGTTCGAAATGTTTTTATGATTCTTGGGGTGTACCCTAAAATGTATGTAATTATAAAATGATAAAAAAAATTCTGAAGACTACCTTGCTACATATGTAAGCAGAGGGGCAAAATCGTACTGGGGGGGATGGGGGGTCTCCCATGGGGGAGAAAATTTTAATTCATGTACATTTTAAAGATAAATTCATTAATCTGGTGCACTTTGAGTCCTTTGAATCTGTTGTTAAAAATATATAATAATCCACCGTCAACCACCGATTCTTTGATTTAGATATCTGCATCTGATCATCACATTACAATTATTCAATTAATCATGATAATATGGTAACATATCATACTGTAGGACAATTTAAAAAAAATAAAAATCTTCATAGCCTTAACAGAGGCTTTACTCCCTTTAAACTTAAATTGACAATGTTGAAAAACACAGTGTGAAAACACTCTTATCTGAATAAGTTTTTGTACCTTTAAAGGGCTCTTTTTTAATTTTAAAAAAGTTTTAATCTATAATTTTATTAATATGCAACATTCAATTAAAATAATAAGACAGCCTAGCGGGCTGCTACCAATCAAATTAAATAAGTTACATTGAAAAATTTTAACTGTATGAAATGAGATTATGAGATTGCTTTAAAAAAAAATTTTGAATATACAAATTAGGAATGTTAAAAAGAATGATAATTTGAAACTAAACCGCCAGTTGGAGGTGGCCGTCTTAATGAGCGAGTCATAGAATCATTCATTTAAATAATTCGTTCAAACGGATGATTTAGATCAAGTGGTGGGAGAGATCAAGATCAAGTCAGTTTAATAATGGGTAATTGAGTAAAAGGAAAAGTGACTGGAGATTACAAAAAAACATGAGCTAATGTCAGGATATCTTTTTCCAGGTGGATAAAGCTAATGCAGGAGAAAGATTTCAAAAGAGACACTGAAGTACTGCTTTCTTCTCGACAGGTAGGCTAAGTCAATGTTACAGTCTTAATTACAAGCTTTATTTCATTGTTTGGTTGTGTAGCCTACTTATAGACAGATGAACATTTATAGTTAAAAGTTGATGATGAAATCTATCTATGCACGTACTTAATATAACGAAACAAAGAAGGCATACTTTTTACAATAGTTCATGTTTTTCACAGTCAGTAATTCATACTGTAACATTTGTTGTTCGTTGTGTCAAGTTGCTGTTTGTTTGAAATAACAAATCTGTTCTCCCGAAGGAACACTCGACAAAGTGCTTTATAGCTTTTTGGTACATAATGGCTACCATACATGCAACGGGGGGAGGCACTGGAGAGCACTTTGAATGCAAAATACATTTTCACCGCTAGAAGGGAGAAATTCCTACACATTGTCCCTTTAAACCTGATCAAACCTCTTACTTGCATTTTCATCATCATCATCAACACACATCTTGTTGCACGTCCGCACAGATAAGGCATGCATTTAGGACCTCCTCTTTGCAAAAAGAGGCTGTTTAGATTTTCACGCTACATATTGATTCCAAAGTGTGATTTTGTTCACCCAGACACTTGATCGGTTTCTCATTGTTGAGCCCATAGACTGGTTGAGCCAGGACAGGTGAAGTCTGTCTGAGACTCCACACTAGTACCTGTAGCCTACACTCTTTCAGATTGGGAGAGTTGTGTCTCCCTCTTTTGGCTTAAGTGTGTTATAGCAATCCTCTCCCAAAGAGAGCCAGCCAGCCAGGACAGTGATAAAGGAAAAGAGACGAGAGCACATATTTTTGTTCACTTTGTCATGAAACGGCGATTTTTTAAAACGGCGCTTTATACCGATTTAAGCTTGTTTTGATTTGTTCCGTCCTATAACTATGTAAAAAAAAATAATAATAATCCCCCAACAAATGTGCACCGTTGGAATAAAATCGTAAACATCGACTGTTACTAACTTATCAATTCGTTTTATTGTTCAGCCAATTTCATTGTCATCTCTGTAGAAATTGTGTACTGCATCGCTCAAAACAGTGACATCAACATTATTCTTCCTCTTTCAAAGAGCATGCAGACGTCAAGAGATCAAAGTTGACCAGCTGAAACCGCCACGCAGTTTCTTCCTCGTTTCAAACTTTTCATGTGTCTGTTGCCTATGTTGCTTGTGTTTTTTCAACTTTTACAGCAACTTTAAAGTATCTGTCTCCGCTGGGTTTGTCGGTTTACATTTCTGAGGACTAAACATTCAAGATGGCTTTACTGTTTTGCGATGCCTTTTGGGTAAGTTATTGTTATAAAGCCTCTTACACTTAAGTAAAATGTATCACTACGGGAAATACAACTTCCTATATTTCGCGTATATGTCAAGAATAATGGATTCTTTGTGTTTTCTATGTCTACTCTAATAACTTGCTTTTGTTTTTATAGGGTGTATTTCCTTTTATTAACGTCACGTTTTAAGAGAAGTTAAATTTAAATTTATAATCTTGCAAAGTTCTATTGAAGAACATTTTCATATTTAATTGTTTATTTGTTTTTAACAGTTCCCCATCTGCATAGTGTCATTAGGTTGCATGTTTTGGTGTATTTTTAGGGTACAGACTTTATGGACCAGTCGGGGTATGAGGCCATATTGCAGAGGTTACATGATGGCAGACATATGTGCAAAGATATAGAAGACCTGTTGAAAATGAGGTATGAAAAATGGTGTATGTCAATGTGTCTCTATAAATGTATGTGTGTGACTTCTGCTCTCTTTCACAGAGCACTGGCGGAGGACAAGTATGGACGAGATCTGGTGGCAATTGCTCGGAAGGCAGAAGGTCAAACCGAGATTGGGTCAGTCAGTTGTTCTGTGACATGTTGATCCAGTTAGTGCCTCTTCTGAATAACTTAAAGGGTTAGTTCACCCAAAAATGAAAATTATGTCATTAATGACTCACCCTAATGTCGTTCCATGACCATAAGTGCTCCGTTCATCTTCGAAACATAGTTTAATATATATTTTAGATATAGTCCGAAAGTTTTCTGCCTCTCCATTGTGAATGTATACGGTATACTGTCCTTGTCCAGAGAGGAAATAAAGACATCATCAAAGTATGTGACACCAGTGGGTTAGTTAGACAATACAATGTTTAATAAAGTCGTAGTTTTTGTTATTTTAGGACCAAAATTTATTTTCGATGCTTCAAAACATTCTAACTAACCCATTGATGTCACACGGACTACTTTGAGGATGTCTTTATTTCCTTTCTGGACAAGGACAGTCTACATACATTTTCAATGGAGGGACAGAAAACTCTCGGAATATATCTAAAATATCTTAAACTGTGTTCCAAAGATGAACGGAGGTCTTACGGTCTAGGAATGACATGAGGGTGAGTCATTAATAACATAATTTTTGACATTTTTAAAGCTATATATGTATTCAAATGTAAAAAAAGTGTGTATCTGTTTTTTTATACTCAGAACATTAAAGGCATCGTTTGACAAGTTAAAAGCAGGTATGTGATGTGATGCAATTCCTTTTTGCCCCGCACATAGAAAAAATACTTGAATGCTAGAGTCCTCAACTTGAGTTGGATTGTTTTCTAGAGATCGAGAAGGCAGGAAACCTGCACATCCAGCTATCTGAAAGGATAAAGGAGGAAGTTCTCAAAATAGAGGTTTTTCGAGAACACCAGAGGGAACAGAGAAAAAAGGTAAAAAAAAAAAATTTAAAAAAATCAAATGATCCAAGACAAATTATGCACACAGCCCAGCGCTTTAGATATATTTCCATGGTTGTTGCTGTGGTTATTCAATATGGAGAAAGGAAACTGGCACTTTCCTTTTTGAGCACATTAACACTGTAAATGATCATTTAAAAAAACTTAGACACCATTTGTTGTATTTTGCGTGGAGTGAACACCAATTAATTAATGAATAATGCAACTGATAAAATATGAAAACTTATATTAATTTTCTGTCCTAATTAGCTTGAAGAGATTATAGAAAAACTTCAGAAGCCTAAAATGGTGTTGCACAAGAAGACCATGGAGGTAAGTACAGTAAATGAGATTAACCCTAGTTCTTCTTGTTTCCCATTTTAGAAATGACTGTCATTAGTAGTCCAGGGCATAAATGAAACATCATTCTCACTTGGGGTCCACCCAAAATTCAGTATCAGCCAAAAGAGGAAGAAAGTAAGAAACTGAAAGAAGAAACAGAAATGCAGTGACTATATTTGCAGAATATATTTGGACATGATTAGACTGCACACATTATATAAATGTTGGGTTTGTTCATTGACTTAATGTTTGAAGACTTGACTAACTCAAACATTTATTTTGACCACCAAGAAATGTGTATAGAGAGAGAGAGAGAGAGAGAGAGAGAGAGATAGGAAAGTAAAAGAGAATAGAAACAGACGATGACAGAGGAATGAGAGAAAATAAGAATAGGTTGGTTGGTTTGTAGGTAATGCATGCTGTCTCTGGATATAATAAGACTAACTTCCTGTGCTGAACGACCACAGAAACACCACAGATAGTGAGAAATGTTTTAGACACACATAAAGGGCTCTATACCCCCTCCCTGTTTCGTTTATCTTGCACTTTTACTCTGAATCTATTCTCTTTACTGCATACAGTCAAAAAGGTTATATGAGCAGAGGCTTAAGGAGGCTGATGAAGCTGAGCAAGCAGTGGGGAAGAAGACAAACGTGAACACCTCCACCCACCGGCAATCAGAAAAGGTGTGAGGGTGTGAACATTTAACAGATAACCTTTTTATACTAAAAATACACTAAGTTAAAGTCCCCCTGTGGTGAAATCATGTTTTTAATGTTGTTAATACAGTATGTCTATGTGGTGTTTTTAATATGCTTTAAGACAAACCATGTGCAAATTCACAAGTCAGCATCGTTACTGAGTATTTTCTCCTTAAAACTGCAGTGGACCAAGGACAGTTTAAAAACACAGTTGTAAATCGCCGGTGTTTTTTTTGTAACAACTGTAAACAATCACGTCAACGTTGCGGCGGGCTTTAGCAAATCATTAAAGCTACACTGTGTAACTCTTTTACTTAGTTTTAAGTAAAAAAACACGTAGTTCTTTCAAAAATACTGTACATGTACTCATTAATGTATATTTACTTCGTTCAAATAACAAAGTATTCTCGTGAGTGTATAATATGCCATTGGAAATTCATACGGGTAAGGGGTTCTAATGTCGGTCGCCATGTTGCCCCTCCATCTTGAAAGTACATTAGCCAAAGAGGGACATACCCGTTAATTCAAGCCTTCGCCTTTCGCATTTACGTTTGAGTTAACACTCATGGACGAGGTCGAACTGGAAGCCATGTTATTCTTGGAATACATTGGCCACCGTAGGAGTTAAAACGAAATCGGAATTGAGAGGAACAGAAACTAATATTCACTGGATGGTCATATTCTTTTCACCACTAGATGGGGGTAAAAAACGAAGTAAAATATACATTAAATGAGCACATATATTTTTGAAAGAACTAAGTGTTTTTAGCAAGGGGGTAATCCATCGACCGGAAGTTGAAGCCTCGCGGGAGCTGACATCTTGTAGCAGAACTTCACTTGCGTTAGCATTCCCATTGACTCCCATTCATTTTGGCGTCACTTTGACAGCGAATAACTTTACATCTGAGGTGTTTGAACACCCCATTTGTCCTTTATTTATTTCTTAAGAAACACGACAATGTATAAATAGCTCCATTACCTTGTAGCTTATGTTATGGCCCCGTAGAAGCAGTTTTAGTGAAAGTAGGCTAACGATTGCGCCATACCCACGCGACTCTCTGTCGCACAGTAGAGAGATTACCGTATGGACATGAGAAGAAGCTCGCGCGCAATCGGGGAAACGTGGAGGCAAAATGACAAAATAATTAATCAGAATACCTAGCAAAATTGTCTCCTTCTCCTAGCTCATGGACAGCTCCTACTCACACTCTCCGCCTCTGCATGTTTCGGAAGGGAATGATTCAGATTTCTCATGCCACAGCACTAGAAGACAGACGAGTCACTCGCGTCACATCTACGTAATCAAGCTCTGTTTGAGTCTGCGCATCAGGGACGGAAGTGCTAAAAAATCGCCAAAAACGGGCTTCAATCGTCTCAATGGAGTTCCAATGAGATCGCTCTGTGCATTTCTTTTACTGTCTATGGTTTTTAGCTAAGAATAAACTAAAAGAGTTACACAGTGTAGCTTTAAGGCATGACAAAAAATTGTTCTCAAGAATTTTTTTTTTTTAAATATGTCATTTTGGTGATCAAAGATGCGTTTTAAGGGATAAAAGTATTCACTAGGGGGACTTTAAATATTCCTAAAGTAAAGAGAACTGTTCATTTTAACTCTGGAATTTTGGGCAGTTGTGAAAAATTACCTATGGCAGGTTTGTGGACACAGTAAGGCCAAAATGAGGATTAAAGCAATGCAAACTTGTTTCAGTCTGACTGGGCAGCATTTGACCTCAGTGTTGAAAGAAACTCTAATACAATCAGACAAAAACACTTTGAGTGAACAGTTTTGTGATGTTACAGATACTGCTTATGTGTAAACTTACACTTCAGGTCAGGTCCAAATACTGAATATATCTATTTATCAATCTATGTTGTAGGTGATGAGCAGGGCCAGGTTATGCAGGCAAGCGGCCAACCTGGCAGGTTCGTCCTAACAAACTTCTCTGTTGTTATGATCCCACTGGCAGAAGGAAGATAAATGCAATGCAATGTAATGTCTGTGTATGTTTGTTAACATGAACATTAACATGTTTGAAAGCGTAAGTGTTGATGAAAGTATACGTGGTCCTACAGAAATCATTCTTAAATGCTGATTTGATGCTCAAGATCCATTTCGTATTATTTTAAAAATGCTTAATAGTTTTGTGGAAACCATGACATATATTTTGGGATTCTTAGGAAGTATAACATTTATTTAAAATATTGTCACTTCCTGAGTAAAAGTATTAATTTCTTATTTAAAAAATCTTTCTCAGCCCAAACTTTTGAACAGTGATGTAGATATGAGAGTTTGAAATATATCTGTAAATGTCCAAACTTTGTCAGTGAAGCAGTAGGCTATTTGTGACATGTTAATGATAACGAAAAGCTGACTTACTTTTATTTCCTTTTCTGGTTCAGAAAAGCAATATAGGTTGAATGTTGATCAATTAGAGGAAACTTCCCAGGACTGGGAGAGCACATACCGGAGTGCATGTGAGGTAAAGAACAAAAATATGTTTAAGCAGAAGGAGTGTACACAGAAATAAGCAAAACTCCATGATTTCTTTAGGGTGATGACTAAGTAAGATATAACACAGTCTCATAGGCATGTGATAAGCAGTCATAGCACTTTTTTGATGTGGAACAACGTTTGTTGATGTAGAACAAAGATTTAAATGAGTCAAGAAAATGTCATTGCCAAAAATAGTTAAAAAAAGGAAATAATTCTTAATTTTCTGAGCGTGTTTTAAAAGGAAGTTACATACAACATTTTACAAAGGAACAATATGTTTTTTTAATTTTTGTGTTGCCTTCTAGGTGTTTCAGCAGCAGGAGTCTGAGCGCATTAATATCTTGCGCTGTGTGTTATGGGATCATTGCAATCTGCTTTCAATGCAGTGCGTCCAAGACGATGATGTAAATGTCCTCCTTTGTCCATCTTTATAATAAAAAGCCTAGCTAAAAGCTGTTTACATTTATATTAATTGTAACAACTCTTTTCTTTTGCAGTGCTATGAGGAAGTAAGGAAGATTCTTGAGCAGTGCGACATCATCAGTGACAACAACTGTTTCATTAAGATGAAAAAGACTGGCTGTCGCCCCCCAGGTAAATTCATCACATTTATCATGATTTTCTTCAGCTGATGTAACAGCTGTCTTTTTAAAGAGTTGACATAGGATGTTGGTATGCTTTTACGAAATGTTACTTAAATTGACAGTCACTCCTCCATCTCTCTTCAGCTCCCATTGAGTTTCAGTGTTACTCCAACGTGAACACCAATGGTGGAGTTGGGAGGGTTGCAACGAACAGGTGAATGTCTGAATAATTAAGAATGAGTTAAAAGTCAAACAACATTAAAAACTTGATTTTCACCACAGGGAGGCTTTAAGACATTTTTGCTCTTTGAAACTTGATTGTGAAACTCTTTCATATCTGAACTCTCTACAGATTATCTGTCCTGCATCCAAGGATGCCTTCAAGTGGTCAGTATTCCTTCTCTGAAGTCTTAAACTTACAGTTTATGCTTTAAGATATGACAATATGCAAAAAGCATTAAAGGCACAATATGTAGTTTTTTTGGGCACAAGAGGGCGCAGTTTCCAACAATAACAAAGGCGTAGGTTTATGATGCAGTGATGAGCTGAATGATGGGACTTGCTGTCAAGCTGATGGATCTGAGTGCAAACTCATGTTTCTCAAAAATTCATGTTTTTTAACATTACAGTGGTATGAAGTAGGTCGCGATTGCTAAAGAGACAGATATCACATGCGAGTCCCACGGATATAAAGGAATAAGGACATTTAATTCGACCGAACTCCCTGCAAGTGCTGGATTACTCACACAGGCCAGTTTATTAGACGAATTAAACTTGTGAGGTAACGCAGCGCTGCTTCACTTGGTCTAACGTTACACTATCACACTAAAGGGCATTTAAATGTGTGTTGAAAGTCATAATGTTATACTACGTGTTAGTTCGTTTGCTATACGAAACTAGCAGTAAGCTAGATCAACATTAGAATAACATACTGACGATATTCTAACATTTGTTTTATGTACATTTGCTCACCTGTCTAATAAAGCTGTCAAGTCGTGACTCGTGAAACTCTGTCAAGTCCAAGTTAGTCGCGGACGTGAAGCTCTCGGCATCTAAAAAGCGCAACGCTGATTTTGATTCTCATTTTAGTTCTCCTTGTTTGTCCCAAAGTCTGCTTGCCATGGTCTATGTTTGAAAGAAACAAGAACTGCGTGCCGCTAAACGTTACGCACTACACAATTGTCCACGTCTGTCGCCATGGTTACGTCATGGCTATGGCAGTATGAACGGAAACCGAGGATAGCGTGAATATTGCATCATTGACTGGCAACATTTTTTTCCGGGATAGCCACTTATTTAGAATTGGAATTTCTTTGAAATAAAATATCTTTGGTGACTTTTGGGATATTGTAAGTTCACTGCAGGAAATATCACACTGTGCAAGTGATTTTTGGCTATTTTATTACAAAATTCTTATATATTGTACCTTTAAACTATATTCACAATGAATTTTAGTGAAGTCAACTAGTTGAATGTGGAGCATTGAGCGTCACTGTCCTTATCACAGGTTGCCCTGAAGCTGGCAGTAATATGGGTGGAACACATACGCTGGCTCAACAAAGGAGAGGAGTAACTGAGGAAAAGTACATGGTGTTATATGATTTTAAAGCTCAGGTAAATAAATATTTATTTTTAGTTAGTTATCCAGGAGATACAAACTTGTTCAAGTATTTGTTGTTACTAGTAATGCTTCGTGTTTAGAGGAATTTTAGAGGAAGTAGAAATAAAATGTGTAAAGTGTAAAACCAAAAAAAAAAAAAAACAGATAAGTGTAATTTTAACCAACATAGTTTGCCTGGCATCCTTGTTGAAAAGTATAAAAAGTAAAAAGGTTTATACAAAGTTTATAGGCCTTACAGACTGATAAACAGAGTTGTGTACTTCATTCCCTGCCCTTTCTAGGAAGATGATGAGTTGTCTGTCAGCAAAGGACAAGTTATCACAATAACTGAGCAAGGTGAGGATGGATGGTGGAGAGCGTGGAGGGATGGAATATCTGGGCTGGTCCCTGGAACGTACTTGACCAAAATCTCACCGCATAGTACGCATCTTGCTGCCGCTCATCCTGAACAGAATCCCATCAAATAGAATTAAGCAATCATTGCACCAAGTTTTACTAAAATTATTTCAGCCTACAAGTTGATGTAGAATGAAAACATTAACGTGTACTAGATATATGAAAGATATTAGCTTTCTTCTCAGGCATCTTTAGGATTTTTTTAAAGATAAAAAAATGAATGTTATAATAATGGAACAGTTATTCTGCAGCCGTTTGTATAATGATTCTATTCTAGATGAGGTTTAATCTAGCTTTTATGGTTTATAGTCAGAAGAAATTATAAAAAAAAGATGTTTTGGTTTTAGAATTATGAATTCTAAAGTTTTTTTTATACATGTATACTGTAATATGTATAAAATTTGTATCAACAATTTTGTAATGTTATTGCTATGATTTATCATGGCCTATTTGTCTGCAGCATAGTAATCCAATCAAAATAAATGTGCCTTAATTTGCATTCAAGTCCACTCAAAAAAACAGACACGCAAAACCCATAAGCATAAAGACATTCAACTGAAGACATGCCTGTAATATAATCAGAAGTATCATGAGATGAGAAATGTGCAAACATTGGTTTGAGCCTATTGGGTCACTTTGTTGGTAGTTTTTGTGTTACCCAACTGCTAATATGAAATAAAATGACCCAAAATATGGAACATAAACAGCAGCACTTTTAATATAAGAGACCAAATCTATGTAAGACTAGAAAAATGTGAATTGGCGAATGGCGACCGCTAGTGGAGACAATCTCAAAATAGTTTGTATATACAGTCAGATGTGCCGGAATCCAAACATCTCGCCCCTCACATGTAGCCTACAGTAACAAGGCATACAGACAAGAGAGCTCACAGCTCAATAAATCTCAAAGCAGTGCGCTCACTCATATGACAAAACAGGAGTGTCAGCTCTGTCACAAAACCAAGAAATAAACTAGACAAAAGTGAAAGAACCCTGAGACCTGCACCCACTATTAAAAAAAATATTACAATTTAAAGGTCTAAATAATTTTTGGTTTAACTGTTTAAATACTCATTAATGCAATAACTGCCCAAACCCAGCATATCAACAGATAATCAAGTTTTCTTTCTTTCTTTTGAATGGTTTGGAGAATGGATTTTAGAACTAAATTGTGTAAATATAAATTTAAACACCCCATTGAGTCATGTATTTTAGGTTTGGTCCTCCAAACTGAGCAGACAGATCCATGCAAACATTTTAAACAATATGGAAAATTACTAAAGAGTGCATAGACATGCAAACATGGATTCATTTGACAGTAAAATGTCTGACCTCATTTTTATAAATGCTTAAACCCTCAATGTCTATATGTTCAAGCTGATACGTTTTGGATGTGGCAGTGTGTAGGTCTACTACTGAGTGCCTTAACATAAGAAATTGTTACTCAAACTTTGCATAGGCTACATATCAAAATATTGGGCATGCAAATCCTTTTTGTTTCATCGCATATCTCCTTTCACTAACTGTTGATTCTTTTAAAAAACATGAGATGGGCATAAATACATGTATTTAAAATACAAATACCAAAGACTGTGTGGAAAATTTTATTTGAATATAAATACAAATCACCGTGAAAAAAATGTATTTAAATAATACAATTACAGTATTTTGTATTTTGAAACTAACAAAATACTTGAAATTGGCCATCCAGTGCAGGTAGGATAGGTCACAGTTAATGAAGAAACTACACAGGACAATAGTGACACCAGAATAAAAATATTCATTATTCTGAAGCTGAAAATACAGAAGATTATGGTTGGACTCTTTCACTGACTAGATATATTTAAAATAATGTAGGCCACATACTTTACTGTTAACATCAGACAGATATTACACCATTGCATTATTATTATATTCAAGTGTAGTAATTTTATTTTAGTTTTTTAGTTTCATTTAAATTATAAAGTTTATGTAAAAATATTCAATTAGAATTAATTTGACAATCTTTACCCAAAGTTTTTTTTTTTTTTTAATGAACAATAAAAATAAAAGCTGGAGATTTTTTTGTGGTTTATCATTCATCGGTGCTACTTTTCGCAATCCAACGTTCCAGTAATTCCTAAATTGCCCAATAAAAGCTGCACGAATAAATTTGCTTACCCCACAAATAGGCCCATCTAATTTAGAAATAGTTTCATCTATTCACACTTTATATCATCTCTATGATATGTATTGTCATATCACCCGGGCCTAACATACAGTAATGCTTTAAACACAAGCTAGTGGATAAAAATCAACAACCGATCAAGGCTAATTGGCTAATATTTTCCCACTTGTCTGTGTCTAGGTCCATGGTCTGTGCTCTTTTATTCTTTCATCTGAAGGCAAATCTAAATTGGCTAACATCATTTAGTCAGGCCTCTAAATTTAGTTTTAATCAATAAGTAGAATTGATCATTACATCCTTACCTTATTCCAGAAAAATCGCAGAGATGCATGAATATTGGGGTTGGGAGGAGGGGGCGTGTCTGAACTAGTTGATGCATGAAACCAGTACCCTGATAAACAGGTTGACTGGCAAAAAGTATTTTATGTATTTCGAAAATACAAAAATACTCATCTTAAATGAGAAATATAATTTAATACAAATTACATTTAACTGAAGGCTTCAAAATACAAAATAGTATTTTAAATACATGTATCTGAAATACTGCCCATCCTTGCATGTAGCAATTATGCAGTGAATATAACGGAATTATGATCGATGACGTTTAATAGTATATATATATATATATATTTGGTTGCCTAGTTTTAAGAGAAGAGTTGTTTTCTACTCAGGAATGGCAAATGAAATAGCCTAGATAAGCCCACAGAAAACAGGAAACGAAGTTTTACAGCTCATCGTCACTTTTTTGCTCATTTACTATTTTAATCAGGGGCGGATTGGCAATCGGGAATACCGGGAACAATCCCGAACGGCCGGTCCATTTCGGGCCGAACCGGCCGGTGGTCAATGATATATATATTTTTTTGGATGAAACGTTTTATGATAAACGACCGGCGCGGCGGCCGCTCAGCTGCAGCGGAACTGTGTGTGTGTGTGTGTGTTTCAGACTAGGCCAAACCAATACCTTCAATCTTGAGGGGGGATACGAGCGGCCCCTCCTAACTTGGACTGATCCTCGTTTTTCCTGACATCCGATTGGCTCAAACTTAAGGCGCCGAAAAGGAGTTTGGAGATTTGTATGAATGCAAGTTGCAACAGAGACGGACATTTAAAAATGCTGAAAAGAAGGAAAGAAGAGAAAGAAATGGGTGGGGCCGAAAAAATAAGAATGAAAAAGAAAAAAATGTTGGCACGAGAGGCAGCTAAATGCGCCAAATTAACAGACCTTTTCCGGGAAAAGGGTGCTGTGGCAGGAGGTAGCTAACGTTACAGATGAGGAAGGAGGACCCAGCAGCAGGACAGGTGCACAATTAGTGATGCGTTTATACACTGAAATTATTTATATTTGCATTTAAATATAGGCATGTATATTATATAAGGGATAATGTAGAGCGAGGCGGTTGTATTTGCTATAAAAACGATTGTATTAGTTTCGTGCCACGAATGCGGTCTGTTATTGCTTGATAACAGGCCGCGCGTTGCCATGGACACGCAGGATTCTAACCGTATAGACAGAACTATTTTCTTTAGCGGAAGCAATACAATAGTTTTGTAGTTTAAAACAGTAAACTCATTTTTAAATCATTATTGTGTTTCAAATTATTGATTTATTTGGTAGATAGCCATGAAATAAAAATGTGCTGTTATCATGTTATAGCCATGTGTCCCTTACATTTTAGAGATATATATAAACAGCAGTTTGCAGTGTGTCATCACACAGACAACATCCTTCTATAAGCAAGTAATCTCTGTATGTATATTAACTGTTAAGGTCAGTGATGGAGAGGGACAGGTTGAGGATGACCCCTGCAGTCATATTGATGATGAGGGAGAGAAGGAGGAGGAGCAGGAGGAAGGAGAGCAGCAAGAGAAAGAAGAGCAGGAGGAGAAGAATGGAATCAGTATAAAAACAGTGACAGGTACAGGGGCAGTGTGCAGGGCTGGGTAGGCAATCATATTAGGAAAATAAATCAATCAGATATTTACATATAGGTTAAAATGCCAATAATTCCACATACTAGATAATAACCTGACTGAAGCACAGATTGAATTAGAAAATGTTTTATTCTTAGTCATATTTATAACTGAAGTTCTTCTCATGCATATGTATCTGCACATCAGTAAGCAGAGGCAGGGTCCATCACAGGGAAAGCTAAGCCAGGGAGCCAAGCTGAGACACACACACAAATCTCTATTTTATGGGACTGCATTGTAGTTTTTGAGTATTTGTAACTATTTTATCACTCCAACTGACTGTGCACATGACATGCTGGTAGTTAGCAGTACACTGTGACTTATGTGTTCAAAATTAGGTTTTGCTGACCTGGTTGTGTTCAGTGCAGTGGTGACTTGCTTATACAACCTGAGGAGGCAGGTGTCATCCTAAAGTTTCTTGAAGGTTTTCAGCATAATCTGATTCTCTTTATACCATAAAAACACTATTAGAATTAAAATAACTGCAAAAAATCCTTCTGCTCGTGCACCAAGGGTACTCGCATAAAAGGCCTCTCCATCTTAAAGTCCCGGGCTGAATTTCAGTCCCAGTACGGCCCTGATTTTAATAATTAGAAAACAAAGTAAAAATGTAATTTTCAGTACTTTAGTTTGCTACATTATTGCCCATTTTACACACAAAAACTTTGACACTTGTTTTCAGGAAATGTATATCTTTCATATTAGTTAAATAGCCTATTTGATATACTATATGGACAAAAGTATTGGGGCACCTGACCATTACACCAACAGGGACTGTAATGACACTACATTCTAAATACATAAACATTAATATGGAATTGGTTCCCCCTTTGCAGCTATTTCAGCTTGCACTCTTCTCGGAAAGCTTCTTTTGAAGTGTTTTTTTTTTTTTTTTTCTGGGAATTTTTGCCCAGTAGAGCATTTGTGAGGTCAGGCACTGTTGTTGGACGAGGAGGCCTTGCTCACAATCTCCATTCTAGTTTGTTGAGGTCAGGGCTCTCTGCGGACCAGTCAAGTTCTTCCACATAGACTAATTTTACCATATCTTTATCATGGATCTTGCTCTGTACACTGGGGCACAGTCATGCTGAAAATGGAAAGGGCCTTCCCCAAACTGTTCCTAAAAAGTTGAAAGAATAACATTAGCCGCGTTTCCACTGGCGGGCCAGGGCCAGTTGGTTTCCACTGTCACTTCCGAGTAAGCTTGATCGGGGCTTACTCGGGGCCAACGGCCAGGATTTCTGAGACGGTTCTCACTGCAGAACATGAAATCCACGGGGAGGAGTCGGATCCAGATCCAACTCCTCCCACCTTACATTCACCTAAACCTACTGTACCCAACTCCGCACCCTGATCCC